CTAAATTGTCGTTGCCATTAAAGCCACTTAAATGATACGATGTATTCGCAAGCTGAATATGAAAGCATCCTCTAAGTTAAATGCGTGGCAGGTAAGTTCAGTATGTTCGTTATATGAGATGCTCCGGTACTTATCACTTACCACAGAATAACAGTCTAGCAATCTTTATTTGTGATCCAGTGAGATGAAATGCACAGGAAAATTTTCATCGCTTATTAAATTATCGGAGGTTGCAATCTGACAATTGCATTTATGGCCGTTAACATCCGATGTTGAAGCGATGAGTCGTGCTCGCTGAAAGCAATAGTTCATAGCCTTGTCCGAACTTGCCTGTGCTGCGTGGTTTACGAGAGCACACATCGAGTTAAATAATTAAACTCATATCATTTTGTGAGTTCAGGCTAATACGGCAACAAGAAATCTTGTTATTCGAAATGCCAGATTTTAGCAGTTGTCAATTTGGCTTTAATAAGGCCTAACCAATTTAGCCTTTAACCGCTTACCATTTACGGATAATCGATTTTGAAAATCGCTACTACTGTAGATCAATCTTGCATGTTTCATATTCGTCCGCCGCATTAGAACTAAACGCTCAGCTGGCGGGCGTCGCATGTCTCACAACCGGTCCCGGGCTTAAAGGTTTTTGCCGGAGTCACAAATGGACAGATTCATTTCGCATACTGACGCAAGTTAAACATGGCGAGAGCATGAGTGCCGCTTTCATCCTCTCGTAAATCATCGGTCTGGAAAAGTTTTTTGCGTCGTTTGACACCGCCGGCAGTTCGCTTGATCAAGCCGTTGGCAGGCTTGACTTCTTGTCCTGCAATACTGCAATAGCGACATGTCTTTTGCAGTTTGACACCGCCACGGGCTACCACTTTTCGCATGAATTGAACGTCAAATAATTCCTGTGCCTCTGTTGTTTTGTGAGTACGAAGTAACGCTTACGTGCTAGTACATGCAAGCGACTATATGGTGATTCTGCGGGTTGCCGAAACCACTGATCAAATTTGACTCAATGAGGCTTGATATTTTCTTAATGAGACCAACTAATTGTCTCCTTTTAACGAATGGTTCATCCTCAACAGTTGATGGCAATTTAAGGCAGGACGAGCGTCTAATGAAATTTGTGGCACTATATTTCCCTTGCATTACATTTTGTTACACATTTACATGGAATTAATTCAATTGTGAATTTTAATACAAACCAGTGTATTCAACCATATAGAAAGCATTTTCCTGTCAATCCTTCGGATTTACACAGCAAAGCACTGTTCTCGATTCTAATAACCTAGAGGACTGCCTAAACATGATGTTTCAGCACCTGCAGTACACCGGCGCAAAACGGCACTACTTTGTTGAGTCGAACAAACGTATATTTGAACACCAACGAATATGTCTCATTCGGTAGGCACATGGACCAAAAATAAACCTTCTTGGCCAACAAACTTCTAGCTTTCAATACCGTCGATGAGAATAGCATTCCCCTGTCTATCCTCCGGATTTTTGGTCAGACAACGCAAATAAACGGACCATTTATACATTCGTTACTCAGTTCAAAAAGATGTGTCGTCCTTGATTTGTGTTGAAAAACAAGTCACTTCGATGTTCTTGTTCAAGTAGCAGGCTCCCACTTTCACGATTTATTGCTTGACAGTGAAAATTTGTGTTAGCTTGCCGGCGGCATGTTTTCTCGTTTTTGTTGTTTTCTTATTCCAAGAACGAGAAACCACGCCGTCTGCAAGTTAACACAAATTTTCAGTGTCAAGGAGTCAGACATCGAGCGGGAGTGGATGACGTCTTCGTCGAAAACAAAAGGAAGAAGCTACAGTGGATCGGGCACGTTGCTTGGCTCACCGATGAGGCACGACCGAAGACGATCGTCGATTAACTTTACAAAAGCGGTCATACAACGGTGGGAAGATTATATCAGGAGTAGGGAAGGTCGCGCTTGGAAGGAGAATGCTCGAAACCTCGAGGAACAGCGGAAGGGGGGGTGCGGTCGGCTCGATTCGTCACCGAGTGATATAAATGGCAGTGAGAAAGAAACGAAACTAGTGACTAAGCTATGAATAAAATAGGTATAGCCAACTTACTGCACAACGACCATAAAGTAAAAGAATTAGAATCGCTTGGAGTTCAAATGTTTGTCATCAGCTCGAACCCATGCCTGAACTGTCAAATAAGAGGT